AACAAATTAAAATATACCAAGAAAGAAAAGCTTGTGTTTTCCAGTCTACAGGCTACAGTCTTGAGGGTTACTTGGCCTTTTTAACCGCCACATTGACACTGTTTCATGAGTGCTTTCTATTGTCTAAGTATCATCACGAGTTGGTTGTGCTGTGGTGGGTTATGTGTGCAGAGATGCTAGAAGCTATGCCACTGAGGTTTTAGCTGAGTTTCCAGACTCAGCACAGACGACACAGAAGGACTAGCTGTCCACTTAGGACAGTGGTTCTCAACCTTCCTAATGCCATGACCTTTTAATACAGTTCCTCATGTTGTGGTGACTCCCCAACCATCAATTATTTTTGTTGCTACTTCATAACTGTGATTTTGCTACTGTTATGAATCAGGCGACCCCTGTGAAAGGGTCGTTTGACCCCCAAAGGGGTTGAGACCCACAGGTTGAGAACCGCTGACTCAGGAGGAATTAGCCAATGAAAATCTTACGAATAGCACACTATCCGATGTCCAAGGGCTCCTGAAAAGAAGCAAAGCAACAAGGTTACTTTCAGGACTAAGGTTCCCTGGACTCAAGCCAGGATGCTTTCAATCACTTCATGTGCATGTGAAAGTTGGACACCGAATAAAGAAGGCTGAAGAAGAATCCATGTGTTTGAATTACAGTGCTTTCGAAAGAATCCATATTCTTTCCAAAGTACCGTGGACTGCCAGAAGGACAAACAAATCTGTCTTGGAAGAAGTACAGCCAGAATGCTCCTTAGACTTTGCCTCACATACTTTAGAGCAGTCCCTGGAGAAGGACATTATGTTTGGTCAAGCAGAGGGCAGGGACAAAGAGGAAGCCTTGAAACAGGACGGATAGGCACAGTGGCTGCCTCAGTAGGCTCAACCCTATGAACAATTGTGAGGAAGGTATAGGACTGGACAGTAGTGTCCTTCTGTTGTACTTAAGGTCACGTTGAGTCAGCAGACTTGATGGCACCTAACAAAGCCAACCTTATCAACAAATCAGAGATTTTATCCAGAGGCAAAGAGGGGGATTAAAGTGACAGTCTTGACAAAAGGGTTACAGGTGACAAGGAGTATTGTGAAAAATGAAATATAATAGCAAAGTTAGATAACACAGTTGGGGAGGGTGAAGTTTTTTGGAGGCTCTCATCAGCTAAGGTTCTGATAAGGTGACATCTGAGTGGAGATCTGTACGAGTGAGGCACGGGTGGAGCGGTCTGGGCAGAGGGTGCTAAGACGGCGGAGCATCACGAAACGAGGTGCGTATGAAGAGGCTTCAGGGCGTTTGTGGGAACATAGAAATAAAGACGATTTAGTCTGTCTCCCCCCCCCCCCTCCTTTGCAGCCCTGTGCCTGTAAGTTATGGTTTAACAAGGAGGTACACACTTGGTAGCAAACGGACCCAAAAGGGAGTCATGCCAATGGTGAGAACGGTCATTTCCTGCCCTTGGCAGTAAAAATACAGAAACTCACCAGGGGAAACAACTTTCTAAAGAGCGCCCAGATTCTTGGTAAAGAAATCCTCAGAGACCTGAGCTAATCTGACAGTCTCCTCTGGAAGTGAACCGAGGAACCGGGGACAGCGGGCTAGGGGTGCTCACCAAAGGTCTGCGCTGTGCTCAAGGCTCCCCAGGACTCCCTGCTCCCTTCAAGCTCTGCAGTTCTGCCCTGCCCTACAGGGTCGCTGGGAGTCAGAACCACCCGATGGCCGTGAATTGGATTTATTTCGAAGTGTGAACCAAACCAAACCTAAGCTGTTGTGGTGGGATCAATAACACCGACTGACAGTGACCCTGGAGGGCAGAGCGGGGCTGTCCCTCGGCGGCCCAAGGCTGCAGATCTTTCTTTACAGAAGCAGACTGCAGGGCGGTCAACCGCCCCCCTTTCGGCGCGCAGCAGAGCGCTTCAGCCACTGCGCCACCGGGAGACGGACACCGCCGCGACCGCTGGTGAAAATGACGGCGCCCGAAACTGCATTGTGCCGCACCTTTAGTTCGCTCCGGGTGCGGACCGTCCCGCCGGCCCTACGATCCATCGACGTGCAAAGCTCCCCGCGAGGCCCCCCGGTGTCCGTCCGTCCGTCCGACCGGGAAGGCCCTGGGAGAGGAGCCTGATGGCGGGGAGCAGGCGGCGGCAGGATGGGCGTGCGGAGCTGGATGCGGGTCTCCTCCCTGCTCTGCACGCGGGCCCCCCGAGGCTTTGGCCAGC